CCCCCCTCAAAAAGAAAAAGAAAAACCCTTGCAACTCAGCCATCCTTGAGGCTAAGAAAATATTAATACGCAGAGCGATAACGAGAGCTGCAGGAAAATCTCCCTTAATGAAATTTCCAGTTGACCACATGCAATTTGTTTCATCGCAGCCAACAACTAATTGCAATGGACGTTATCAAGGTGTGACTGTGCTGGCTGCTGTAAAGTGACTGGTAAAACAGGTACAAATCCTTTATCCTCACTGCATGTTGGAGACATATTGTCACATGGACTTGACATAACCTACACATAAGCTGGTTATTTTGTTGTCGTTGTTACAATGGTAACAAATGTAGAAATAGGAAAGAACATGGAAGTAACTAACTGGCTCTTGGATGAAGGAAATGAACTTCATCCAAGAGCCAGCGTTACAGAAATACAGAGAATGTATTTAAATTTATATTATCTTACAGAGACATAAAATGTAATGTATATATATTACATTGTGTATATATATTACATACATATATTACAGTGTGAAAACGTTACACACCTTTAACCTTAAACCTTAAAAACAATGCCATGGTGTTGTCGCATTTAAAAAAGCCCAAAGGTAGGGGGAGACACTGAATGAAAAAATCAATTTATTCAGTGAAGAGAAAAAAAATGTGGCTTTTCAATTTAGACATATTCCTTATTTTTTATGACACTTTTCGACTGTGTAAAAATGGCACCACGCCATACTGAGTAGGTGTTGGAAGCAGGATCTAAAGCCGATGAACGTCTCGAGATATTCATGCAGAGTGGTTTTGATCTCTCAGTTGTCTAAATCCCGCAGCTGTGGGATAAAGACAAGATACAGTGCCAGCCAGTGACCTTGGTGGAGACAGAAAAAAGCCACTATGAGGGAAAATAATCATTCCCACCAAGGTTTGTATCGATTTCACCTGCCCCGACCATGAAGCAGGTTAAGAGTAGCCAGTGGTGGTGAAATGGTCAGCGGTGATATCATTAGCTTGTTGTTTACACAGGGAAGCAGGGAGTTATGGGAAGGCTGAGTGTCACAAGCCACTTTCTTCACCTCCTTCAGCTGATCAGAGGATCATGGTATCAAGGAGGGATTAGTAGCGACTTGGGATTTGTGTGATTGGTTAATTTATTGCGGTGATGGCAGGTCTTTCATCTATGGCAACATTTAATCAGCGCAGCCACACAGGCTATTACAGGTTTGCTCCTTTCTGGAGTCGGTCCGGCTGTGCCATCAGCTCTATCACAATTCCCCTGAAATTTCCAAATTATCTGGAACAGGCTTTAGCTTCTCAGTAATAAAAATTAGAACAGATTCCTGATAGAAGCTTTTGCTCACAGAGGGCCAATTATAAATAGTACAGACTTACCTCGGCAGAGGGGAAGAAGGGGAAGGGGTGGGGAAAGGAAAAAAATCTGAGTCTAAGAGATGTGCACGGAACTTATCGTTCAGCCCCTGCTCTGCTCTGATCCAAATCCTTGTGGCTGAAAATTTATATTAGATTTTATCGCAGAGGCCTAAGTCTAGAAAAATCAATGAAGGTTATCTTTTATGTTGCAGCAACTTGTGGAAATATTGATTTTCATTTTATAGCGAATTTGGAGCATCAGTTTGTAATCACTTCCTCGCTGACTACACTGTTTTGGACACTGTATCTCTTACACGAGCACCGGTAACAGAGCTCAGGGGGGAAAAAAATTACAGAGAGAGTATTGAAACCACTGGAGTGAAGGCAGTGGGTGGATAAACCACAGCAGCACAGAGAGAAGGAGGCCAGAGGGGTTTTTACAGCCTGTGACAGGGATAATAGACTGTAAACAGATAATAAACATTGTACACACTATACATTACACAAATATATGTTTGTTAGAAACCCTGGTTATTTAGTGACAATACTCCAATTTAATAATTGTTGTGTAATTGTAACACGCTTTTGTTTGTTTTTTCCTGGCCTTTAAATTTTGTGTTTGTTTGTTTTTTCCTGGCCTTTAAATGCTTTTCAAAACTATCAATCAAACAATGAAACAGTAGTTCATCAACCGTCCATCACAGATGGTATGAAAACTAATGGAGCCTGGGAATGAACTGCTGACCTTCCAGTCATGAGGTGACCTGCTGTACAAATGCATCCCACCCAAAAATATGTTTCTCTTTTCATTCAGGTTTCGGCCCTTTTTACCTATTCAACAATCAGTGTGCTGTATTAAACGTTAAAATACCAATATGTCACAAATGGAAATTTGTTTATAAATAGAAAAATACCATCATGTTCAAATTACTTTTTTTTTTTTTTTTGCCTGTTAATCTGCATTCCATCAGAATTTGGACGTTTGCGGCAGATGATCAGGTTGTAAAAATCGTATGATTTCCATCTACAGACGGAGGATCCTGCAGTTGTAGTGGAAACAATTGACAATATAACTATTATTATTATCCCTTTATTTTGTCTTCTACCAGAAGACATTCAGCTTAGCTTTGTGTCCCTGCCGATGACACTGGGAGCAGCTGGAATATCATGAATTCCCAGAGTCTCAGAGGGACGGAGAGGGAGAGCAGCCCCCTACACCCCCCTCTTTCTTTTGCTGCTGAATAAGAGATGGCACCGGTCTAGAGATCTAAGAAAGGGTTAATCTGATTCCCATTTCAGATAGTCGCCCTGGCAACAATCGGCTGGTCTGCACTGCTCCTTTGACAGGGGTGTGAGATTTTCAGGTTATAGCCAGATAGAAGACTTTATTGTGAAGCTAATTTGAAATGTGAAATCACTGACAGCTTAAATTACAGAGGTCTCTCTCTTATGTGCTGCCAGAATGGGATAAGAAGATGCCAGAATAAGGAATAAGAATATCAATTGGTGCAATTTTTGGGGCCTGTGTTTGATCAGTTTGGCATTTGCCAACACGCACCGTTAGGAACTAATCAGAAATCAGTCTTTATTCAGAGTTTGTAGGGTTGTTTTCTTTTACTCGCTAGATTGCAGACAAAATCCAATCAGATGTGCGAGATGTATTTGCTGTTGAAAAAAAATCCTGTATATCCTGCAGCCTTAGACTAGATAGAGTTCGTAGAAGGAGGAGGTGGGTAATGGTGGAGGAAGAGGGAGAGGAAAAGAAGATGAGGAGGAGGTTGGGGGGGGGGGGGGGGGGGGGTTGAAGCTCATCACTTGTGCATATCTGTGCCAATTCAGACCCTTAACATGCTCAGGTGACATTTGCATTTATCCTTGAAGGTTGTTGCTTTTCTGGGTGAAGAAGTAACTGGAGAGAAAAAAAGCATGGTGTTTTGTTTAGTCAGAGTTAGGACAGATGGACAGTGTCCTGCTGTTTGCTTGACTCAGATGTAGAAAGTGTGAAGCTTGTAAAGACAACCCATTTTCTCTTAGCTAAACTATTCCTGTAACATCTTAACGAAGGCCAGCCCTGGGGTTCTGAAGTAATGGCCTTGAAATACTGACATTTTACCTTTTAATAATGGGCTCCTTTACCCAGCTGCCGATGTGTTGCTGCAGACACTGCATCCTCACAAAAAAAAACCCCAAAAAACACAGTGAAGGTATTATAGTGGATGTTGTTCTCTCTATCTAACTGCCCTGTCTTTTTCCTTTCTTTCTGAGGAATAAAACTCCTAGTTGACCTTTGACCAAGAAGAAAAATGACCTAACACATTCAGAATAATTTTCCGGCATATTAAAAAAAACTCTAACCTCAATCGCCCTTTGAAATGGATACTGATTCTTTAAATTCCTCCCTGCTTGTTTCAGGAAATAGTGAGATCAGGGTGATAGTGAGGCACAATGTGCCCAAAGTTCAGCGCTGAACACTCGCCTCCTCCTCCTCCCAGAGAGTCACCAGACTTTTTTTTTCCTCAATAATTCCCAGATACCTGAGATGTTCTTGTTAATCTAAAAGATCTGATGCTGAATCACTGGGTTCAATCCTGCATGAGAATTCCTCCCTTTTTATACAGTGCACCCATTTGTCACCACTCCAACTGGAGCTACAGAGCCGTCTCTTTCTCACACACATTCACCAACACACACACACACAGGTTTGCACAGTTAGTGTATTCTTGTCAGGACTCTGCATTGAATTTTACTTCTTTACACTTCCTGGTAAAACCCTTCTTCCTACCAGCCCATGCTCACAGCGAGGCTGCTCTCTGGTATAGTCTGATGAACACCATTTCATATTTTCCATAAGTGCTGATAATGAACACGTGACAGAAATACCTTGTAAATATAAAACAAATTCCCAAGCAAGGAGGAGAGTTGTAAATAATATACTGGACATTTTAGCTACTTATGTAAAAAAAAAAAACAAATATATAAACTTTTGTTCTTGAAAGAAGGTTGTCATTTGAAAACTTTAACTGGCATTTTTGATATTGAAGTATGTGTTCAATATGTCATGGCAAGTGCAATGCAACATGTATTTACATAGTCACTTTTGTTAGTATGTGGATCAGAGAGCTTTGCACTTGCTATTATATTTTGAGCATGTTTAAAATCAAGAAGGCCTAAATGGCTTTGTGTTCACTGTTGGGTAAATCTCCATGTATTGTGCAGTACGGACATTTGATCTATTTATAATAACAATCTCTGACCTTTAACAGGAGATGTCTTTATTATTGTAGACCTGAATTCTCATGTAGTTAGTTCGTATTCATTTCCTTATTATCTTAAACAGTCCTTATTTGGCTGTTATAGTAAAACAGTTTTCCTTTATTCTAATGTATATCCAGCACAGATACATATTGCTGTGTGGGACACAAATATGACTACACATACCGACAAGCTTCCTCTGATTCTCAGCCATGTAAAATAATTAAAAATATATATATATTGCTTATATTTGTGTTTTGTGCTTCACACTTAGCAAAAGTGTGTATTTGTGGCCATTTGGAGAAGCACAGCAGCATAACTGTGTGGTTATTAATGTTTCTTTAATCAGCAAAATAAGCAAATGATTAGTGTCTGTTATCTGCTCCTGTCCAGAAGACGAAGAGCACGGTCCCGGTGGTGCTGAGCGCCGGCCCCAGGTGGCTGCTGGATGTGACTTGGCAGGGAGCGGAAGACAACAAAAACAACTGTGTGGTGTACAGCAAAGGTAAGCAAGCGAGCAGCATCCCAGCATCCTGTTATCTCCCTCGCAGCGCTACACACCACGACACAGCAGCGCAGCAAAGACACTGACAATTCTCCATCCTCTCCACACCTTCCTGTCTCCTTTTTCTCTCCCTCGCTCCTTCTCCCTTCCTCCCTCTCCCTCTGTGCCTCCAACGTTCTCTCTTTTTTTTTGCTCTTGCTGCTTCCCAAAGTCACAAACAAGCACAAATAATTGCAAGTTCACACCTACAAGGACACACACAAAGACATCCGTGAACACCATCCTCTCACACCATATCTTTTTCCTTCATCCAAAGAGTAATTTATATCACTATAACTCTGATTAGGAACTGAGAAACATCACTTGACACACAGAGTTAATGGTCTTTAGATTTCACAAGGTAATTAATGCCTCTCTCTCTCTCTCTCATTCTCTCTCTCTCTTTCTCTTTTTTTACCAGTCTTATATTAAGTGCATCCCTATCTGTGAGAAGATAGCAGGCAAAGTAAGAGTGAAGCTGGGCTTGCCATTTTGCGTCATTTGTTCTCTCAGTAATTCAGCAAAGCTTTAGCAGTATATCTATAGTAAATCAGACAGTCATACCCTAGACCCTACTACAGACTGATTTACATAAATCAAAGGAGGAATTATGATATATCTGTCATAGGAAGAAGTTTTCTTCATGACAACAGGCTTAGAAAGAAGAAGAAGAAGAAACTCAGCTACACTGCTGTAGATGTAGGCAGAAGTATGTACTTCCTGTATATATTTTATAACTAATTACTCATATAGTTTCCATTAAATAATAAAACTGTTCCTCCCATGTGGTCAAAGCCTCAATGACAGGTTCTACAAACTGTTGGTGGCTTTTATTGGTTAATTACCAAGGAGAACACATCCTATTGTTAGGACAGGTCTGACAGTGTACAGTCTGTGGAGCAGTATTTTAATATACTTGCGCATAGTTCTAACAATGGGGACACATGAAAAAAAAAATACTGTATATATACCTGTAATTAAAAATGTGTTTCAGTAAAGGAGCTCAATTTATTGCCTTTCAAAAATGATTTCTCCCTGACACCGGAGCCCAAAGCTGAAATAGAGCCTCCTCTTTTTCTTCCAAGTGAATAAGTGGCAGGAGTGGGATTTGCAACCAGGATTTTCAGTCTTCCACTTCTCATGTACTAATCACTAGACTGCACTTGGGAGTTATCCTCTTAGCCGGCTACTTAACTTTGTGCTCTTTATCAGCAAATCATTAAAGTTTTGATAAGCTGTTAAAGAAGATTACGCACTTCTTTAAAATCTTCTAATCTTTGCGCTCAGAGGCCGAGAGTATGAAACAAAAAGAGGCGGTAAAAGGATTTCTTACATTTGTATTTTGTTCCGACGCGACGAAATTCCTCGTGCTTTTCTTCATACGAGTTCTTACACAGAATCTTACACTAAATGATTACCTCAGCTACTGTATGAGACCCTGACACATCCTTTGTTTGTCACTTCTGTTTTGACCTTATTAAATTAAACACAATAACATCTGCAGACATCACTCGGCCGCCGCCGCCGCCGCAGCAGCAGCAGCAGCAGCAGCAGCAGCAGCAGCAGCACACTTGCCAACTGATGATACACGATAATACAAAGAATTAATTTAAATCTTGGAGCTAACGTAAATTATCTTGTCACTTTATAGTCGCTGTGACACAATCACTGAGCTGAGAAGAAGCGCATCAAATAACACAAGACACCATTTAGGCCCACTCTCGTTTTTCCATTATTACAAACCTCATTTCCTGTCAGTACACTGTTTAAAAAATACAATAAAAACTTGGATCTGTCCTGAGAGAATCCACTTATTTATCGGGCAACATAACAAAGGAGATCAGTCCTTCCTTTCCTTAACATGAACTAATTTAACCTGAAACTCTGGTTGACAGACAGTCTGTGGTTGCTGCAGTCTGATTTCTCACTTCATTAAATACTTAACGATGGGAGACAGATCAGGACTGCAGGCCGGCCAACCTCAGCATAAACACTGCAGTACGTCTATAATGTAGTGGTTTTGAAAACTGTATAGAAGCAGGCCTCCAATTGTTCCTGGGAAAGCAGCTACTTCTATGGATTTTTCTGTAGTCTTGTAAACAAAACTACAGATTTTAGTTGTAGCTGACGTTCAGGATTTGGCTTTTTCCTGAAATATTTGTTGTTTGAAAACCTGTTTCAGGTAATTGGTTATTTTATCGAAATATTTGTTGTTTGAAAATATGAGGTACCTGTTTCAGGTAATTGGTTATTTTATTGGATAAATGGAGTTCTGAGGTTCCATCATTAGAAAGAAAATATCCATGCTGTGAACCCACACCTTTCTCCACCACCTCTGTCCTTCCTTGGCCACAGAGCTTCAGATGAAATTGGTTGGGTGTCCGTTTTCTCCAACCAAAATTGTTCCACTTTTTGCTCCCGGTGGACTTCGAATTAGTTCAGAAAGTGTTTGATGGCTTTCAACCATAGCATCCAGACACACACTTTCTTCCTCATCATCCTCTGTTGAATATTCCAGTGTGTGTGCACCCTCTGGAGGTGACATTGAAGTTGAATGTCAGAGTGGTAAAAAAAAAAAAAAAGACAAATCTCTGTCAAATTCAATATTGAGTTGGTCTTCCCGCTGCACTCTGTGTTTATCATGTCGACACCGGCTTTGACTGACTAGCAGGGAAGAGCTTCTGCCTCCAACAAGAACTTTCTTCCCACCTTGAAAGGGCTGAGGTCCAGATTGTTTATATCTTCACCCCTGTACCGTCTCGCCTCTGTTGGTTGCTTCATTGCTCTCTGAGATGCATTACTTCTGGGAAAACAGTGAATATCTCCATACACATATGCTCACAGAATGTGCTTTGGCTCACGTTTCACTGGTCTCGGCTTTCTTTATGGCTGCCTCAGAAGATAGGAGCAGTTCTGGAAGCTTGCCAGCATGAATCTATGGTGGGAGGGGGTGTCTTTAAGTGCGGCCGGGTTTGATTGGTTTGAGTGGCTGCAGCTGATTGTGGGGCGTTCAGTCCTATGATTTCTGCATTATATTTTTCCACCACTGCTCATCCTCTCCTTCCCCAAAAACCTGTCATTTAAGAGTCGGAGAAAATGTGTGCAGGAGAATGGGACATGTATTCCCCTGAGAGTCGTATTCCTGAGTGTGTTATGTATAATACATGCAGTAGCAATGTGTAACAAGCAGCAGGGAGGTGTAGTCCAGTGCCCCCAAGGGGTGCCCCTGGACATCAGCACTTAGACGAGATAACTGCAGTGTCAAGTCGAGATGTTTTGCCTAATGTTTGGATCCTGTAGATCTAATAATAACAAACAGAGAAACTGTGTTCCCTGGGAATTTGAACCCAGATACCCAATGATTTTCACTGGGGAGACGTGGAAACTTTTTTTTTTTTTAAATAAGTGAAGCCGTAGACCACAAGTAATGCTTGAGGAATTTAACCATCTCCAATTATCATCCCTTGTCATTCCATGAATATAAATGTGTCTTTTTGCCCCC